AGGATGCACATACTTGTCAACGCACCACCTACTCTCGAGTTGTACTAGAATATCTGGTATGTATTTGTATTCATCACTTCATATGAAAGTACACTATTGAACAACACGGCCGACAGATAAAAACTTTCAAACTGAATGCTCACGTGATCTTCGAACGAGCACACCAGCAAATAAGTATATAAGCAACTCGCATCAGTCGATCAGTCAGCTGGAGAGTATCCGATGTGCTATGAGTGGTATCTGATTTAAACCCTCTGTATAAGACAGGACCCGTACAGCTATGCCTATGATCCGATTGAGTTCCATTCGCATCCGAGAAAAATTAACAAAAACAAAGACTCCTTCGTTGCCGGTGAGAGACCCCAATGTATATTATTTTATTACACCAGCACGGCGAAAACTGAGTTTCCTGTGATAAGATCTGGTTTACTGCACCACGCAGAGAGAGTTTCCCGATATCGAAGGTCGCAAAGGAAGATGATGCGTCTCGTACGCCAGTGGACCTATGCAGTGGTTGTCATTGGCAACGATACATCCACCCCATCACTCGCCTGACTATGAGCGAGCACACCGAGTCGAATATCCGAACTTCGGATGCGCTGCGGCTCGACTACATCGTTTGCGGTTGGTAGGTGAATCGACTAGGTCTGCAGCGGTTCAATACCCACCTGTCCTCAGTATCTCTTCATATACACAAAGACATCATTGTACAAGCCACTCCAGTAAAAGCTCGTCTGATACAGGTCTATGAGACGCGTTCCGAAGACGCCCATGGACGGGTGGGTGTCTCGGATCCGGCTAACTAGGAATGGATACTACCCCAAACCCTAAACCCCTGCACCCTAAAACATACAAGAAGGGATCTGCCTGTAGGCGTATGTTTATACACCTAGTGATAGACTTGGACTTGGGGGAGACATCGCTCAGTTCATGGGTACTATACTGGTTATACCCGCAACAAACTTGTGAAAGCTCTCGCTGTTATCCATGGCCTGCAGGGTAGGTAGGTAGGTAGGTGTGTAGAGAGAGTATGTGTGTGAGAGGGGAAGGCAGATAGGCTCCTGGGCTAATACACTCGGGCAGTATACACACATTTACCTACAATATTACTGCCGCTCGTTCTATAACACTATGGTAAGGTCCCTTCAACCACACATGAGATAGTTTAAACGCACCTTGACTATGTCGTTCCTGAGTCCTTCTTTCGATTGTCGGGTGCTTTTCCGCTCATGCAGCAACGCCAGGAACTTGTGCGGCTTAAGCATTTTGTAGCTGACTGCTTCCATGGCCTTCTTAAGTATCTGTGCACCAAACAGTCTGATATGAGCAATAGAACGGCAAGTGCAGTAAACAGTCTGCTGTGAGCAATACACCAACGAAACGCAGGTAGACTGAACAAAAGGTAAGCACGCCATCCTCGTGCATATCCGCCGCATAGTATAATAGCCAGTTTAAGTTGGTATGTATATATGGTCAAAGATGCGTGTGTGTTTGTGTATACTTGTATCAAGTGCTTTCCTGTCCGTTCATGTATATTAGATACATTTCTGCCCACCACCAGAACTCTGAATTTGCTAGCCCGTTTACGTATATTAGATAAATTCATGCCTACTGAATTTCCTAGTCCGTTTACGTATATTCAATAAATTCATGCCTACTTACCAGACAACTCAATTTCATGTCCGTTTACGTACATGAAATAAAACTATACCTACTTACCAAACCTCTATATTCAGTGTCCGTTCATGTTCATGTATATCAAATACATTTATGCCCACCTACCGGATCTCTAAACAAAGGATAGTACGCCATCATCGCGGCGTGTTCGATTGCGTAAAAGTCGCTCGGTGGCTCATGCCACACTTTCTCACTCAGCACATTGGAATACTCACTGTCATAGTGAGAGAGTAAAGCTATCTTTAGGGTTTAGGGTGTTAAGTTTCATAACAGACACTGCTAGAAAGTACATGCCACACTTTCTCACTCGGCACATTGGAATACTCACTGTCATAGTGAGAGAACAACGAGCAATACTATACTGTCCATCTCAGTATTAAGCATTAAGTATACTATGAGACGCTGTTAGAAAGTGCATGCCACTCTATCCCCCCGAGTACAGTATTTCACCGTAGTACATATGAACAGCGATAGTGTGATACATGACACTAACTCGCACACGACACACTACTACTGCACGTACGGTAGTGTCGTCGCTGTGATAGAGAAAGGACAGGGACAGGTTCAAAGGCCTTTGTTGCACGGTACACTCATTGGTTTGATACAGCGCCAAGCCCGAACCCGACTTAAACAGGTGCGGACACGCCCCAACCGATTCAAAATAGGCCGGTATTTAGACCCCGCAAACAGCAACAAAAGCACGTGCGGCAACTCACCGTAAGTCCAAAAACCTTTTGGGCAGGTACACGGGGTTGATATCGAGGGACTTGTCCATCGGCGCTTTCTTACCCAACGACGCACTGAGGTCTATCAGACAGATAGTGTTATCCGGAGTGAGCAGGACGTTATTGTGGTGGCGATCCTATCAGCGGAAGGGATATAGTTATGGATTGATAAGCTTATGATGGCATCGAATGATGGGTGCTTGTGCGTGAGGTTGAGTAGTAGGGATAAAGATATGAACTGATACGCAAATGATGGCATCGAATGATAGGTGTTTGTGCGTGAAGTTTAGTAGTAGGGATGTAGATATGGACTGATACGCGTATGATGGCATCGAATGATGGGTGTTTGTGCGTGAGGTTTAGTAGTAGGGATATAGATATGGACTGATACGCTTATGATGGCATCGAATGATGGGTGTTTGTGTTTGAGGTTTAGTAGTAGGGATGTAGGTATGGACTGATACGCTGATGATGGCATCGAATAATGAGTTCTTGTGCTTGGGCTGTGGCGGATAATTGCTTGCAACTCAGTACGGGCGCTGCAGGAATCTGGGCACGGACTGTGCTGTGTTTCTTGTGTCTGGCTATTTGTCTCATGGAGAGTACCAATGGTACTGACGTGTGCCTGGGATTTTAGGGGTTTAAAGTTCTAGGGTTTTGTGTTTTTAAGTTTTAGGGTTATTTTAGAGTTTTAGTCTAAGCTCATGACAAGTTAACAATTGACTAGGTGATGCGGTATGTAGTCACTTCGGCACTAGAGGGCCATTTAACGATCTTTTTATATACAACGGAGCCAACTATGGTAGCGACCGAACACATTGCCTTACAATACACACCCGTCCACATAACTGCGATATTGCCCTTACGTACATATACATGTCAAAAAGCAGCTAAGGCATGTACATACATATACTTGTCAAAGAGCAGCAAAGGCCTGTACATACATATACATGTCAAAGAGCAGCGACGCTGAAAAACACCTTCGTGAATATCTTCGTAAATGCGCAGTACGTACCAAACACGCACACCCACGCCACAGCATCATAGAATGCGATACACCAACATTCACCTCCATGGATACAACAAAGTAACATACAATGCAATACTCACACACTCACTGATATATCGAATATGGCTGTGACCACGGCAACGGCTATCATGGAGTTGACAAACTTAAACCACGTTTTCCGATCGGTCCCCAGGGCGTTGTGTATGTCCTTTGCGTGGAAGTTGAGCATTGTATCGCCTGTACGTTGTTTAGAGATAAAATTGGAATATTTAGGCCTATATATATATACAAACACATACATATAAA